ACCAACATTGTTAGCATTCTAATGGACAGTTTTCCGACTTCAAAGATATAAATAATTTCTTTCTAGCTGACACGAAGTTATCAGTTGTGCATGAGCGGTATGACACCCAGTTGGTTTGTTAGTGACATTTATTCCAGTACCTTGTTCATCAAATTCAACAAAAACCATCATAAATTCGGACAGCAGAGCGTTGGTATTACTTTTATTCCCTGCACTATCATTTGCCAATACCAAAATTGATTTATGCCGGCTAGTAACTATAAAGAGTATTTTTTGTATGACACCAGAGCCCGCTCATCAGGAGCTCACATCGACAAAAGTTGTTATGAGCTCAGAAGCTCACATTTATCTTTTTTGTCTTAACCTTGAGTCCGCAGCGTAGAAATATCCAGCCAATAAGTCATCAGATCAGTCACGTTTTTAACACTTATGTTTGAAACGCTCGGGTGTGACGTTAAGCTTTCTCAGTTAATTCAGTTGACCTCGGTGGGATTCGAACCCACACAGCAGGGAAGGCTTTTGTACAGCCAACGCTCTACCACTGAGCTACGAAGTCACGACGACACTTTGAATTTAATCCCACTTGGTTCGCTTTTACCCGCCAAACTTAGCGTATTCATTGAAACTGCTATTTGGCCCTTTGTTGCATACAACTTTCTTCCTGTAATTGATTCGCCACCAAAATACGATCCCCTTTTTTCCTAGTTTGTTAGGGCAGAAGTAGAAAAACTCAATTGATGCGTAGCAAAAGGACTAATGTGCTACAGGCTAACTGCCTGCAGCAGCCCATTTTTTAACTTTATTTAGCTACTTAATTAATACAGAAAACTGAACGAGAAACTCGAAGCAGACCCGATTATTTTGGGGTATCGTTCACTGCCTGTTAAGAAATATTCTCCACTCAAAGTCATTTAGTCACCAGAGATGGATGCCTAGATTGGTTCGCTTCAAAAAAACCCTTGTACCTGCATGGCCTCTCTGCAGTCTACGTCGAAGCCACCCCAAACGAACAGGCAATGCGAGATGAGGCCCGTCAGGCAGGCTCTGCCAGCTCCAGCGTGGGCCACAGTATGACGGGTGTAAACGCTCTACAGGGTCGCAGTACTGCAGGACACAGCGCCAACATGACCATCATCATCGTTGTGGCCGCGTGTTTCGGCTGTCTGATCTTCATCACGAACCTCATCATTGTGGGTCTGGTAATCCACCGCAGACAGCAGCGACGCAACAGCAAGCTGAAGCGCATTCCTGGCACAGAAAGTGAGTTAAAACTTTGTAGGTGACGTACTAGTGTGCAGCCACTGAATCCTCCTACTTCTATGTCTTACACATTCTGCCTTCGGCAAAACTGTCTTGTAGAGCCGTCTATTCCCCCCGCCCAAATGCCTTACGCAATTTGTGGTTAAATATTTTCTTCCTGGTTAGCGCGTGCAAATTAATAGTTAATTGTGTTGAAAATCATTATAAAGTATAAAATTAAAGAAACCTTTATTTCTTTAAATCTAGTAAACATCATCAACAAAAACTCTTGTCACTCAGGCAACTGATGCCTATTAAGGGAAATTTAACCATATATCGGCGGAATTTAACAAAGCAAGGGAAAGTCGAGTTACTGAAAAATTTAAAAGTAGGTTACTGCTATAAGTAAAAAGTAAATAGGGCCTTTAAAGACAGTGCTGCACTACATTCTGTTATTATCTGAGTAGTCCCGATTTTTATGGGCTTTCGAATTCTTAGCTTAGGCCCTTTCGCTTATTAGTTCTGATCAGCGCTCCGCCCCGTTGCTTGCTAAATCCATATCTTATCCTACCTTATTTAATTTCTGATATTATGACAAATACAAACTTACCTTTTCCATCCTAAAGTGCTCCGTTATTCTAACTCGTTTAATTGCCGATATTTTGGTGGCCTAAATCCCTGCATAACATTGATTTATTTGATTTCTGATATTTTGGGGAGAACAATTGACTTTTCCGTCTTAATACACCAAAACCTGCGACCTACGACCTTCAATTACCAGTTTTTGTTGGCCGCCTCTCATTGCATTAACAGCAGTGGAGAATTTGCGGTATAACTTTTGCAGGCTTTTACCCGTCTTCATTAGCTACTTGACTTAAAACGACTTATCTTTCCCCCCCTCAGCCAATCCCGGCCGCTTCCGGAGTTTTGTTTAATTACTTCCATATCTTTCCTCTTCTTTCTCATCTAGCGCTCATTTTCAGCCTTTTATACGACGATCTAAACAGGGAGCCCCATTTGGGCATGTTTTACATTATGTTGCTATTCTTTTGCCATTTTATGCATTGTCCTATGTGCTCCGACAGTAAAACCCCAATTACCATCATTCCTATTTTAAACTTGACCTTGGTTGCCGCGCACTAGCACTTTGACCTTGCTGGTTTTTCTTCTAACACAGCTCTCTTTGGTGATTTCATCTGGTGTTTACTGGAGGGGGGGGCAATCACGCTTACCTTCCTCATAAGCAACCACAAAAGGAGGCCGTTATAGGTTTGTATTTCAAACTCCTTGCAAAATGGTGGTAGTATGTCTTAGTAACCGTGGTGCATGTAGCCTACGTGACGAGAGGATAAACATCTTATTGTTCCATAACATGCTGTAGTTTCTTGGGCTGCTTCCCCTCTGTAGAATAGGTAAGCACATTACTTGGTCTACTACAAGGATGAGTTGAGGAAGAAGTAAAAATTTTAGAGATGGCAACCGTGTGGGAAACAGTAGGAAAATAAAAGGGTAATTGAGTATTCGACCACAAAATACCCATGTGTAACGTGCTTAAAGATACATGCGTTGCAGGTCTCCCTACCACAGATGTTATCGCCTCCGCATTCTCCCTGCCTTGCGCTTGCACTCGCCTGCAAGACTTTGAACTCTGCATACGGTAGCCGACGCCAGTCATGTAGCCGGCCCCTTGGATATGCTGGTTCGTTCACTCGGGAGCAGTGTTCACGCCACACACACTACGTGGGTTAGCCAAAATTCGCCCTGTGGCTGGTGAGGGAGGACGCAGAATAAAATGATGGTTTATCGATGGTTGGCCTAGAAACCCCCCTCATCAGCCCAACTAAGCACTGTTTTATTCTTCGCCCTGTGAATGATATTTTTGCAGTGTTTCGGGGCTTATGGTCCTCCGGCGAAGTGGCTAACTTTATCCCAAACCAACCCAGTCTGAGGGGTTTTACGATAAAGTCTGTACGCGCGAGACAGAACATAGGCCTCAACCTTCGAGCTTCAGTGCCTACACCTTAAGTATTCTTCCTCAGTCCTAGCTGATCCCTCTCTCCTTTGTCTAACAACACTTGTTCGCATCGATGGTTCTTTTAGAGAATATAGTTAGAGGCTAGGTTTTCCGCTTTTGAAAATTTATGGGGAGATTGTGTAATGGCGTTCACTGAAATTGGGGAATTTGGAGTATTTTAGGAAGCAAGAGACATTGTTACGCCTCAATGAGTAAGAGGTGATTTGCTTAATGATAGCTGATGTCAAGAGGGGCGGAAAACTTTGAATTCGTGAATGCTAACTTACTTGGTTAGTTTAGTACTGGCAGGGTTGAGACTGCACTCAAAATAAGTATGGCGTATTTTTGACTTATGATATCGTGCTCTTTAGAAAGTGCTTAGGCAAAACTAAGGCGCAACTCAGCACAATAATGCAAAGAAATCCTTTAAGTTTTCTTCAGATCACCGTGAAACGTCTTGGCTTCGAACATCATTATGTCTAGAATGCGGTTTCACACTACTCCCTGTTTCATCCTTCTCCTTTTTTTCAAAAAAGATAGTCTTTGTTAACCACGTTATTAATTCTCTGTCTCCGTTTTATTAGACTGGTGCGCAAATCCCTACTCAGTTGAAAATAGTGCGTGTAACTTTTCTAAAATCATCCCTCTGTTCGGCGTTAGATCTGTTCGCTAATGCTTCTTTCTTATGGTATATTTTGGTTCTAGTAAATTATACAGACATATTGCACATGTTCTAGAAAGAAACTGAATATGTGTCTGTTCAGATATTTGTACAGAATCGTGTCCTGTACATGGCACTACTGAAGGCCTGCTTATGTAGTAATACTTGTGCCTGAAAGTAAAGATTTGTTTTACGGTTAATGTTTCTTGGCTCTCACTTCAGCTCTTCAGTATACAGCTAGTAATCTTCTGAAGTTTGCACCATGCACCTATGCTGCATCTTAAGTCCTCTCCGTTGTCAAAATGGACTAAGGTACAAACTCCCAGTGCCCTATATTCCAGTGTGGGGAAGTGTTACAGTACAAATCCGAGACTGGTGATAAGGAGCAGTTGTACGGTTGAGGCAAAGGGTGAAAATAGACTCAAGGACCCCGGACAAGAAAGATTAAAAACAGCAGTATAACCTATTGGGCTTTTTACATAGTTAAGACAGACCTAATTAAAAGAGAATGTAAAGGCAAGCGCGCGATCGCAGACGCATTACCTCTGAAAATAAAATGTGATGACTTAAAGCTATGTCCAAACCCTAAACCCCCCCTCACCCAGTCTCAAACCCTACAGCCTAAGCCCTAAACTTATGCCAAAACATTAACCCTAAAATAAAAACCTAAACTCTAAACCTTATTGCAAGCCCTGCCCTTAACTATAAAATTGTATTTCATAACCCTAAATCCTGATCCCAAATCTTAACCCTAACATCATCCACTAACCTTAACCTCAACCCCTACCCTAATTCCTAGGCCTTAAATTAGCTCTGAAACCTGACCCCAAATTTAAGTTCCCAACCCAAACTCTTTCAACTAAAAAATATAAACCTGAGCAAAACATGCATACTTAAATTAACTAAGTTGCTATCTAACACTAATAAACTCGCCGTTACAAGCCTCACAAGCCGTAACTTGTTCCATCAAGCGCGTCTACTTCTTCTCAGTAATAAAATCATTGGGTTTACGTGTGAAGTAGTCTATCGTTCACGCTAAAGGATTTTTTTCAGAAAGGGCAGCGTAAAGCCTAAGGTCACCGAAATCATAGTAAAATTAGCGATAGAATTCCAACAGTGACGAATAAAAAAAGTCTTAACACGTTACGGAATGCTTTGTTTTTAGAATGAAGCAGCGGATGAAAGGGAAGCATTATCCTCTGCCACAGGACGAGTGGTATTCTAACCAGAAGTCTCTGATCTAGTACTTCTGACCAAGAAGTATTCGCATTAGAGTTGCTGTATTCTGTCTTTGTCATTTGCTTTGGTCCTATCAGTAGACTCGACATTTATAAGCTGACTTTTCTCGGTCCAGCAGGGTAGAAAGACCGATATTTTGGCAGACAGTCGGCCCCTTCAGCAGGCCTCACTGCCCCTGCATTACCAACGCAAATGAGTATTTCTTAGCAGCAAACATGTCAGGCAGCCAACACAGTCTGGGGTTTCTTAGAAATTGGAAAAGTGTCCAAAGTCTGGGTAGGAAAGCGTTTGCCACAACAAAACACCTACGAAATACCACGTGATCCCGGTAAGTCAGCTGTTCGGTACAGTCTCACCAGAAGTACTGTCCGGCTGTGATTGGGTTATATTTCAAAGGCCGCTCTACTAACATCCTACTGAATTATTAAAAAGGTCAGCGTACTTCAAGTGCCTCCAATGCATTATGGAATATAACTGTCCAGCTTCTATGCGCTCGGGGCGTTTTGCCTCGCGCTCCTTACAGAAGCATCAATCAAGCCGGGAACCCGACTCGGCTTCTGTGTTTACGATGTTGAGAAGGCGGCTGAAGTTGCACAGCTTACGGATGTAGTTGAAGTAGCTCAGCTGTAGGAGATTTATAATAATTATTATCACAATTATAATAATTAATTATAATAATGCCGTTTGCATTAAAAATCGGGCCAGTACCCAAGACTCTGATCAGACATCCTTGAACACCTCCGTACTACAAGCGAACATGCGAGTCTCAGGAAGTAATTGAGAAGAAGGCGAGGAAGAAATTATCGCTGGGACAAGATCACAGCGATCGCATCTTCTTCTTCACAACTCCGTAAATGTTACGATTCTTCCAAGTAACTCATTTCTTCACGTCGGTAGACTGGGAGATGAGATACCATGTGCTAGACTCAGTCTGAGGTTACCGAAAAAAAAATTACGTTCTTGAACACATCAATACTCGACGAAGTAGATTTACCCTCATCCTTTCTATAAAAGGAGATTGTCGCGCCCCGATCATACTTGCCAAGTATATAAGAAAGGATGTTCAAAAGTGGTTTGATCTGATACGCTTCCCGCAATTTTGTGACAGTTAGGACTTTAGTGGGGTTGCGTTACAAGACAGGATTTCCTCTACATGTAATTGGTCGGTTTCAAAACCTGGTTGCTTACATGATACCACTTTTGTCTGTCAGTAGTCTTATTTAGAATGTTCGAACCATAGAAGATGGCCAGTGCTACTGCAGACACATAAATTTTAACTTCTTTCCCACCAGACTTAGCTTGTGACAATAGACAGGCAATATCTGCTTGTCCTTTTGGAACATTTCGGCCATTAGAACACTTTTCCCTCTAAGTTTTTGTGATCGGAAATCCTAAAATACCCATGGACTCTTTCCCTTCCTGAATTCATGTCTGTGTGATCGCAGTCCACGGTCAAAGTAAATAAAATTGATTGGCAAGTAAGAAGCCCACAACGTCAGAAACCGGTTACTCCGTGAATGTTTCAAGCAGCTCCGTCCCATTTTTGTAGTTGTAGTGACCTATCTGTGTGGTCTCGAGATGAAACCCAAGAACTGTGGAAGTTCATTCATCTCCCGTTTCTA